TTATTTTTGAGAGTGTTTCTCACTGTGTTTGACGTTGTAATTTAATGTCACAAAACAAAGTGCTTTTTTTTGTGTCTATCAAGTCAAGTTTTTGAATGTCCAGACTGTACATTCTTAAAAACTGTACATTTATCTTGAAAATGTACAGTTCTTAAGAATAATCGACACAATACTGAATAGGGTAACGTCACAAGAGTGGTTTAAATTCATGGAAATGATGGATGCCGAGGCAAAGCGAATCCACACCAACTACTAGCTTAGCCTTCTTGAGCCACCCCCTCCACCCACCACTGCGTCAGTACCAAGCAGACGACCTCCAAGCCCAACCCACTAGTCCGGATTCACGTCATGGGAACTCCAGCTCATTTTGGCCCTTTTGTCCACCCATTCAGCAGACGGGTCGTGGATGTCCCTCCTTTTCTCAACCTGCAAAGGCATCACAGAAGAACCACAAGGGAAGAGTGAACGGCCTGCACTATCCCTGATCATTCGGGGGTTGGGGGTGGCGCCAAAGACGACACAAATTTTCCAGCAACCCCCAATCCCAAACCTGTCGGAGGCCACCTGCAATCTTTCACAGGTTTCTGGAGATACCTCACATTGAACAGTAGGGTGCTTGTGACCATCTCCCAGGGATATTCTCTTGAATTCACGAGCCCCTGTCCGTCCTGCTCCTGCACTCAACTCCAATCTGTCCTGAGAGAAAAAACAAGAGGTAATGGCATTTGAGGTAGATGCTGTCCCTCAGAAGCAAGCCATCTGCCCTGTCCCCATGTCACTCTGGAAAGAGCGCTTCATCTCCACGTTATTCCTCACCCAAAGAAGGAACCCAACAGATGGATACCCATAATCAACCCGAAACCACTGAAAAAGCAACAGGCCCTGATGGTATCAGTATTAATATGATAAAAATAGCCTCGCATTTTATTACCAAGTCGTTAACCCATATATTCAACCTCTCAAAAAAACACTAGCAATACCCTAAGGTGTGGAAACATGCTTCAATTACTCCTTTTTATAAAGGAGGTGAGTACTGCAATTCATGTAATTACGGACCAATTTCAGTCTTGCTGATTATCTCTAAAATCATGGAAAGATGGATACACTCAAATGTGTACTCATACTTTGATGAAAATAACTTGATTCCTGAATAACAGTCTGGGTTTCTGCCTATGCACTCTATCGAAAGGACATTAAATGTTCTGATAAATGAATGTCTCCAAGCTATTGATCACAGTATAATGACCGGAACCGTTTTTCTAAATCTGAGCAAGGCATTTGACTGCATTGATCATATATTACATTTTGGAGAAATTGAAAAGGTTGAATATGACAACTTCAATAGTTAACTGGTTTACACCCTATCTTAGTGGCTGCAGTGAGTCAGTCAACATTGACAAACATATGTCTAAACCCATGCCTGCAAGTGTTAGTGTACCACAAGGATCACATCTTGTTTAAGGTCCACTCGGGAAATTGTAAGTTATATATATGCCGATGACTCTACACTAGTTTGCATTTCCAAAAACATTGCTGAAATTGAAAATAATTTGAACATGTCATGAGCTATAATTCATCAGTGCTCCATCCAAAATAAAATTGAAGTCAATGCCAGTAAAACCAAGTGCATACTCATAAGACTCAAAGAAAAAGGTTGGTACTCACAAGATGAATATACACATCAATAATACTCCAGTGTGTAAAGTAAAATAGTTTAAATGCCTGGGTGTTATTATTAATGAAACTTTTAAGTTGGAATCAGCATATTGAATATAAAAAAGACCATTTCTTCAAGACTAGCTGTGTTAAAGAGAATTCAAGACTGTGACACAAA